CAACCACCACAGCGAGGCACTGAGGCAGGCAGATCAAACCCAGCCACCACAGCGAGGCACTGAGGCAGGCAGATCAAACCCAACCACCACAGCGAGGCACTGAGACAGGCAGATCAAACCCAGCCACCACAGCAACAGAGTCGCCTATTCTCGGGATTTGTTGCATGTTCCAAATTATACAACATTCTTTTCATAAGTACTAATATAATTAATTTATTTGTTTAATGTATTTGTTTTGGTTTAAAATTCAGCAACAATAAATACTGTACTAAAGGCACAACATTATTATACTGTATAAGCTTTCCTCTTAGTGATTTTACTCTGCACCATTATTCAATTTATAGACAAGTGATATTAAACTATTCTTCAATGCTCCATCATTACAATTTAAGCAAGACAGTACAGCAGTTACAAAATACCTCATCTTACTTGATTCGTAACATTAAAAGATGAAATAAAATACATTTTTTATGAATTATAATTATTATAAATTAAGAATATTAAATATTGCATGAAGAAAGACCTAAGAAACTTAATACTGTATTCTATAAGCAATGTGATCATTTTTATTTTTGTCAGTAGAGGACTTTGCCCATAAAGCAAAAATCACAACTACAACTGTATGAAAATTTCTTAATATGCATACCTATGGACTATATTTTTTGTAAATAAAGTATTATTATTATTAGTGGTAGTATTATTATCGTAGAGGTCCGTCTGCAGCAAGCAGGCAGTAGAGCAGTCAGGTCAACATTATTACCACACCTGGGATGCACAAGGTGACCCGACACTTGGTCACAGCCGAGGTCACCACGTGACAACGCGCTGCCAGCCCCTGGGGACAAACACCCCATTAACACAAGAGACATCTCACACATTTCCTAGAAAGGAATACATAGCAGAGGCCAAGACACTAAAGAAAAAAATAAGGAACAAAAAGAGCAGTTTTTTCTACCAAGTAATAAGGCAACCCTCAACCATTAAATGTATTTCAGGACACTTGAAGAAGCAAAGAATAATCAAACCAGAATGAAAACAGCCAGGTAAACAACAGAGGGACTAACAAATACTAAAGATTTTATATTAAAACATAGATGGGTGTATTCTCAAAAAGGCTAGAGATGAGACTATAAACGAAAAGGATATTTATAATCACAAAAAAACGCTAAACCTGTATGTAAACGATAAGGAATCCAATAATGTGAATGTACAGCACTGAGTGTGAAGAGAGAGAGCTGGAAAGAAAGAAGGTGCATTAGCAATATTAGTACAAAAAATCTCTAAAAGCTATAAAAAAATTAAAATCCAAAGCACAAACACTGCTGAAATTTTAACAATAGAAATCCAAAACAAAGATAAAAAATCATAAATATAAATGAATGCAATCCACTGTTTAACAACACATGGGAGAGAGAAGAATCTAACACCATATGTTAGGGTCTACTCAATACAGTCAGACTCCTAAATTTAGGGAGATGGGGGTTCCTATGTCATGGAATTCAATTTCCCAGCAATAACCCATGAATGAAAGCCCCTCCTTTTTTGAGGAAAAGGGAGAATGCGGGTGGCTTGGTGCATGATCCCAAATTAGAAACTACCACCAGTATTCCATTAAAAACCTGCTCAATTGCTCTCTCCATAACCAAATCTTTTTTCTGGTCATTCTCTCTTATTTTAATCTAAGCTATTGTTTCAACATGATACTAAATGCTCTTGTGCTATTGCTTTACACCAAGTAACAAACTTTTGTTGCTAAACATGACATTATACGAAGAAAAATGGGATGAACAGTTATTACCCATAACAACTCTTATCTACATCAAATCTGCCAAACTGAACTCGAGTTCTCTCAGCACTGTTGCAACCTTCAATTATCTGTGGTCAACCCATCTTCCAACTTCAATAACGAGCCTGTGGTTTCAAACTATCTAAACGACAACAATATCTCTTTTGATGCCAGAAGTAAGTCACCCAATTATTTAATGCTGGTTAATTATACATAAATACAGGTTAATTAAGTTTAGGTTACCCTAATTTAACCTCAAATATCTTGTTAAAATTCAGTCTTGGCTTGGACCATACAGAAACTGACACACTGTAATGAGCACTAGCTATTGTATAAGAGGTTGATATGGTCAGATAGCTCATATAACAAGAGACTGTTGTGCTTCAATAAGACTGTTTATGGATGCTTTCAAGGCAGAGGTTACAATGCAAGTTACAGTTCTATAGAAAAGTACTTATTCAACCTACCATTTTTTAAATGCATATAAAGTTGCAGCAGCCTTGGTTTCAATATGTTTCCTGGCAATCTACTTCATATTTTTACCACTGAAACTGTTTGCCAATTATTTTTCCCTCTAACTGCTGTATATTACAGCTGGACTGGGAACAACACATACATATGTAAAACACAGTGTGCAAGACCTGATAAACCTTTGTCAATTGTCTCTTTATCATGGTGCATGGTACAACTGCATGACTGACTGACTTGATTGACTGACTGATTGATGATGACAATGATGATAATGAAGGCAATGACAATGTTGATGATGATGTACCACACTTTTCTGACTAAAATGATTAAGTCCTTTGAAAATTTATGTCGAGTATGTCTCAGTCTTCCCGTGTTATTTTGAATAAATTCATATATTTTAAACGGAATTCACAAAATTAAGAACTTTAGTTTGGGTATCACCTTTGTCAAACATAAAGACTATTATAATGACTTACAAAACTTGGGGAAACATTAGGCCACAGGAAATTCTATCTGATATTTAGCATTGTGCAGTATAAATGTTAAGCTATAGCCTTTGTGAAGCTAGTGATGCTCATAATATTGCAATGTACTATGCCTAATTATGTTGCAGTGTCACTAACAAACTCACACTATCAAACTCAAGAAGAACCTTCAATTACCCTCAAGTACAATTTCTTGATCATTGTCTGTATCAATGATATTCAATGCTTCAAAGAGAAAAGGAGACATTAAGTGCATATCTTAATGTAACACAGGTGTGGAAGCCTTATGCAATGTCCCTAATTTGCCACTTTTCACTATGAACACCTCAATTTACCAATTATTTACATTCTTGGTTGTTCAACTTACAATTGAGTCTTTATATAGGAAACAATTGTACAAAAAAGTTGTGTCAAACATGTTCGTACTGTAATTTAGAGATTGCAAAACTGTATTTGGTTCTTAAATAATCAGTTTCAAGTGTGGATGGCTCTAACTTCAAATATTTATAAGTCATGGGCCTTCTCTATATTGGAGAGAAGGCAGGTCAATTAATTTTTCCAATATACAGAGAAGGGCAATACAGGACTGCGTCCAAATTTCTCTTTTGTAAATTTCGACATGTTAATAATGTACACATATCGTACAGAATACCAACAAAATGAGTTAAGACACATGTGCAACATCTGGATATCTTTACTGTAGACATTTTGCCATCAAGTGGCTTTATCAATATAAATTCAAGGACATAATGGGAAAAACAGTAAAACTATATACAAAAGATACAGCCACTGGATGGCAAAACATCTACAACAAAGATACCCAGATCCTGCATATGCATCTAATTCTTAATATTAATAATGGTAAAAAATTACTGCAAACAAAATATAAATGTGAGAATGTGTGTGATAGTCAATAAATATTGCAGTGAATAACAGAGTTTTGGATGAAAAAATGGAAGATGCATCCAAATTAGAGTTGGAAGCACAGACATTTCAGCAGGCACATGAGAGCACTTTAGACTGGGGTGGAGGTGAGTGGTTTGAGGCTGCTGAGCAACCAACTGTAAGTTCAAGCAAGCAAGCAATCCATTCTTGCACCACAATGCTGGTAGACTATAGACTGTTCCCTGGTTATGCTTGGCCAACTTACTACCAGTGATTAACTATGTATTTTTACAGGTTCATGCAACTTAACTAATTGAACTAAACCTAAAGAAAATAGGAAGTTTAAAGGAAAAATTAAAGCAGTAAAATGAGGACAGATTGAAGTAATACAATATCTCTGAAGTGACTGAGAAATTAGTCAGCCAAGTTTGAGTAAGTACAGTGCCTGTACTATGAATGATGGTGAATGTGTATTTACAATATCAGGCCTATATGTTGTATTCCTGACATTACATAACTGTATTATCATTGTTTTTTAACACCAGCCACTTACCACTAGCGCTCAGTTGGGGACTCAAGAAGAAAACTCATTCAATATCAACTGCTCCCTGTCTGTCTTTCCAGGAAAATGCACATCATTATCTTATATGATACCATAACTGCCTTTTCTTAAATATATATTTTAAGTATATACTGTATGTCCTATTAAGCATTATTGTCACCCATCAATCATCAGTGATTACATAGCATATTTAACTCCCATGGTGGATAGCTGTAGACGAGAACTAGTGAGAGTCAGCGATAATAGCAAGATAGGAGAAACTAGTCAACATACCCCACCCACCACATACATGGAAGAGTCTCTCAAGATGCTCTCTGAAAAGTAAATTAAAGTATGCAACTTTGTACTACATAGTAGAGGTTTTATTTCCTCATTATGTTGTCTGTTAATGGTTCCAGGAATCATTGCCCAGTGGCCCAGTCTCAGATTAGGCCTCCTAAATTGGGAAGAAAACATCAAAAGTAGAATATAATAACTACTAAGAAATGAACAGGAAAGTAAAAAAAATTAAGTATATACTGAATGTAATCGAAAGTTTGCAGAATTTACCTGCCCTCTTATATATTCACAAGACAGGAAGCAAAGACTAGCAATCCTGCCAGAATGCACAACATTTAGCAGGCTTTACTACACATTCAAATGACAGAATGGTAGCACAGTACTGTACCTCCTTGAATATTTATCAACCAACATGCCATCATTAGTCAACTGTGCAAAACCACTTACTTACCCATATGGAAAAGAATGATAGTGTTTCTTAACACTTTCAAACAGGGGCAAACAATTAATAAGGTTTGATGACCTGACTAACCTAGGAGGAACAAGGCCACCAGGTAAAGGATGTGACTGGGCATCAAGGATCTGTCTGGCCAGCAGCACGGGGTTCCTTACCCCTGGAACAGCACCAACTGCCCCATGACGTAGTGTGTGTCCATCCATTACACTTGCATCACACTCGACTCCGCCTGATATTTAAGATAGATTACATCAGTAGCTAATATTATTTTGATTACGCTTGAACAGTGACCCTTAATTCAATACAGATTTCCTAAACTTAATTCATTACAACTTTCCCCACTTACATGGGAAAGCAGAGAAGAATGTTTTCTCTGTAAACTGTGCATGTCGTAAGAGGCACCTAAAATGCCAGGAGCAACGTGCTAGTAACCCCTTCTCCTGTATAAATTACTAAATGTAAAAAGAAGTAAAATTTTCATTTCTTCATTTTGGGTCCCCCTGCCTAGGTGGGATACAGCCACTGTGTTAAAAAAAGTAATTAGGGAACAAATTCATACAGTAAATTCAAGATTTAGTATGTAGGTAAGTGTCTGGTTGACTTTCGCACAGGTTTCACTAGGCTAAGCTTTTGTAAACTTGCTCCTTAGCCCTTAGAGGGTCGAGACCACTGATCTCAAACTAGCTCTCAGGGTCGGAGAATTTAAATATATATACAGTGGACCCCCGACATTCGATATTAATCCGTTCCCGAGAGCTCATCGAATGTCGAAAATATCAAAAGTCGAATTAATTTTCCCCATAAGAAATAATGGAAATCAAATTAATCCGTGCAAGACACCCAAAAGTATGAAAAAAAAATTTTACCACATGAAATATTAAGTTTAATGCAATAGAATAATTACAATAACAACAATAACAATAGATTAATAACAATAGAATAATTGACACTTACCTTTAATGAAGATCTGGTGATGATTGATGGGATGGGAGGAGGGGAGTGTGGATGGTGTTAGTGTTTAGAAGGAGAATCCCCTTCCATTAGGACTTGAACTGGCAGCCTCACCATGCCTTACCACACTGTGTATGCCACTATGATTCTTAAATCTTTCAAACCAACCTTTGCTGGCCTTAAATTCACTCACATCACCACTAGCTGCAGGCAATTCCTTTACCAAATCATCATGCACTCCGACACACGCACTCCACTTTTATACTTTGCAATTATCTCTTTCTTCATTTCAATAGTCATTAGCACCTTTTTTCTCGAAGGGTTGGCACTAGAAGCTTTCTTGGGGCACATAGTTACTTATTTTGCAGAAACAAGCACCAAAAACAGTGATAATGTGGAATGTACCGAATGTATCCTTAGATGTGCACACACTGGCTGGCTTGTAAACACTGGCACACATGGGGCAGTTCAGGCCACACGTGGACACGTCTCGTATGAATCGTATCGAATGTCGGGTTTTCCATCGAATGGAGAGGCAAAATTTTTGCGTTAAAATGCATTGAATGTCGGATTTATCGAATGTCGATGTCATCGAATGTCGGGGGTTCAGCCGTATCCCACTGAGGTGGGGTGGCCCAAAAGGAAAAATGAAAGTGTCTCCTTTTAAATTTAGTAATATATACAGGAGAAGGGGTTACTAGCCCCTTGCTCCCAGCATTTTAGTTGCCTCTTACAACACACATGGCTTACGGAGGAAGAATTCTGTTCCACTTCCCCATGGAGATAAGAGGAAATAAACAAGAACAAGAACTAGAAAGAAAATACAAGAAAACCCAGAGGGGTGTGTATATATATGCTTGTACATGTATGTGTAGTGTGACCTAAGTGTAAGTAGAAGTAGCAAGACGTACCTGAAATCTTGCATGTTGATGAGACAGACAAAAGACACCAGCAATCTTACCATCACGTAAAATAATTACAGGCTTTCGTTTTACACTCGCCTACTACCTAGGATATACATATATATATCTCCATGGGGAAGTGGAACAGAATTCTTCCTTCGTAAGAGGCGACTAAAATGCTGGGAGCAATGTACTTAGCAACCCCTTCTCCTTTATATACAGTGGACCCCGCTTAACGATCACCTCCAAATGCGACCAATTATGTAAGTGTATTTATGTAAGTGCGTTTGTATGTGTATGTCTGGGGGTCTGAAATGGACTAATCTACTTCACAATATTCCTTATGGGAAAAAATTCGGTCAGTACTGGCACCTGAACATACTACTGGAATGAAAAAAGTTCGTTAACCGGGGGGTCCACTGTATTACTAAATGTAAAAGGAGAAACTTTCGTTTTTCCTTTTGGGCCACTCTGCCTCGATGGGATATGGCCGGTGTGTTGAAAAAAAGAAATATATTTATATATACGTAATTTATAATTTATACATATATGGAGATGTCCTGTCTAAGGGCAATGTGTGGTGTAAATATTATGCAGAAAATTCGGAGTGTGGAAATTAGGAGAAGGCGTGGAGTTAATAAAAGTATTAGTCAGAGGGCTGAAGAGGGTTTGTTGAGGTTGTTTGGTCATTTAGAGAGAATGGATCAAAGTATAATGACATGGAGAGCGTTATAAATCTGTAGGGGAAGGAAGGAGGGGTAGGGATCGTCCTCGAAAGGGTTGGAAAGAGGGGGTAAAGGAGGTTTTGTGGGCGAGGGGCTTGGACTTCCAGCAAGCATGCGTGAGCATGTTAGATAGGAGTGAATGGAGACGAATGTTATTTGGGACCTGACAATCTGTTGGAGTGTGAGCAGGGTAATATTTAGTGAAGGGATTCAGGGAAACCGGTTACAGTGGACCCTCGCATAGTGATATTAATCCGTGCAAGAGAGCTCATTGTTATGCGAAAATATCGTTATGCGAATGAATTTTCCCCATAAGAAATAATGGAAATCAAATTAATCCGTGCAAGACACCCAAAAGTATGAAAAAAAAAATTTTACCACATGAAATATACATTTTCCCACACACAAAGAGAAGGATACATGCACAATAGTAGAGTAGTACATGCACAGTATATATTGTGCATGTACTAGTCTACTAAATGAAGAATAAATGACACTTACCTTTATTGAAGATGCAGCAATGACTGATGAGACACTGTGTCCTGGGAGTGCCTTTTCCTCCTGAGTACTGTAGGTCCTGTTTGGCATTTTCTTCCAGAACAGGCCTTATCACACTGTGTATGCCACTACGATTCTTAAATCTCTCAAACCAACCTTTGCTGGCTTTAAATTCACCAATATGAGCACTAGTTCCAGGCATTTTTCCCTGTTCACCTGGGTGTTAGTCGACTTGTGTGGGTTGCATCCTGGGAGACAAGATTAAGGACCCCAATGGAAATAAGTTAGACAGTCTTCGATGACACTGACTTTTTTGGGTTATCCTGGGTGGCAAATCCTCTGGGGTTAATTGTTTCTTGGTATTCTCAATAAGCCACACCAACAACGGTGCTACAGCAGCAGCAGCAGCTGACAGTGCAGCAGCAGCAGCAGCTGACAGTGCAGCAGCAGCAGCAGCTGTACCACCAATAGTAGCGATGGTTGATTGGGGTTTATTATACAACCTGGCCAGCTCGGAGACATGCACTCCACTTTCATACTTATCAATGATCTTTTTCTTCATCTCTATTGTAATTCTCACCCTTATTGCTGTAGGGTTGGCACTAAAGCTTTCTTGGGGCCCATGGTCACTTATTTTCCAGAAAAAGCACCGAAAACACTGTAATAATACGAAATATTCCGATTGTATGCTTGGATGTTACCGCGGAGGCTGGCTGGTAAACAATGCCACCGGCGGAACATGTGAGCGTGGCTCAGGCCGCACATTGGACGCGTCTCAGACGAAAATCGGTAAGCGGGTTTTTAAGCGGTATGTGAGGCAAAATTTTTGCAATTAAAGTAAGCGGTATGCGAAATAATCGCTATGTGATGCCATCGTTATGCGGGGGTCCACTGTATTTTTATATAGCTGGACTTGAGTACTGGAAATGGGAAGTACAATGCCTGCATTTTAAAGGAGGGGTTTGGGATATTGGCAATTTGGAGGTATATATTATACAGTGGACCCCCGGTATTCGATGGCATTGGTATTCGATAAATCCGGTATTCAATGCATTACAGTGGACTCCCGGTTAACGATATTTTTTCACTTCATAAGTATGTTCAGGTGCCAGTACTGACCGAATTTATTCCCATAAGGAATATTGTAAGTAGATTAGTCCATTTCAGACCCCCAAACATACACGTACAAACGCACTTACATAAATACACTTACATAATTGGTCGCATTCGGAGGTAATCGTTATGCGGGGGTCCACTGTATATTGCAAAAAATTTTCCTCGGTATTCGACTGAAAACCCGGTACAGTGGACCCCCGCTTAACGATCACCTCCCAATGTGACCAATTATGTAAGTGTATTTATGTAAGTGCGTTTGTATGTGTATGTTTGGGGGTCTGAAATGGACTAATCTACTTCACAATATTCCTTATGGGAACAAATTCGGTCAGTAGTGGCACCTGAACATACTTCTGGAATGAAAAAATATCGTTAACCGGGGGTCCACTGTATTTGATACAATTCGTACGAGACCTGTCTACATGTGGCCTGAACTGCCCCATGTGTGCCAGTGTTTAAAAGCCAGCCAGTGTGCGCGCATCTAAGGATACATTCGGTACATTCCATATTATGCATATTATCACTGTGTTTGGTGCTTGTTTCTGCAAAATAAATTACCATGGGCCCCATGAAAGCTTCTAGTGCCAACCCTTCGAGAAAAAAGTCGCTAATGACTTATGAAATCAAGAAAGAGATACAGTGGACCCCCGCATAACGATTACCTCCAAATGTGACCAATTATGTAAGTGTATTTATGTAAGTGCGTTTGTACGTGTATGTTTGGGGGTCTGAAATGGACTAATCTACTTCACAATATTTCTTATGGGAACAAATTCAGTCAGTACTGGCACTTGAACATACTTCTGGAGTGAAAAAATATCGTTAACCGGGGGTCCACCGTAATTGCAAAGTATGAAAGTGGAGTGCGTGTGTCGGAGCTGGTTAGGTTGTATAATAAACCCCAATCAACCATCTCTACTATAGTGACCAGGAAAACGGCAATCAAGGAAGCTGTTTTTGCAAAAGGTGCAACTGTGTTTACGAAACAGCGACCGCAAGTGTTAGAAAATGTTGAGAGATTGTTATTGGTGTGGATAAATGAAAAACAGATAGCAGGATTAGGCATCTCTCAAGCGATCATTTGTGAAAAGGCTAGGCAGTTGCATGACGATTTGGTAAAGAAATTGCCTGCAACTAGTGGTGATGTGAGTGAATTTAAGGCCACAAAGGTTGGTTTGAAAGATTTAAGAATCGTAGTGGCATACATAGGGGTAATAAGGCATGGTGAGGCTGCCATTTATGTTGTGCGACAGAAGCCCAGTGACTCTCAAGCTGGTCCTAGTGGCATTAAAAGAAAAAGGGGAAGTAACCCCGAAAAGGACTTGCTACCTCAAGCCCTAATGGATGGGGATTCCCCTTCTAAACACAAACACCCTCTTCCTCCTCCCCCCATCAATCATCACCAGATCTTCATTAAAGGTAAGTGTCAATTTTTTTTATTGTTATTGTAATTATTCTTTTTGCATTAAACTTAATATTTCATGTAGTAAAATTTTTTTTTTTCATACTTTTGGGTGTCTTGCACGATTAATTTGATTTCCATTATTTCTTATGAGGAAAATTGATTCGGTTTTCGATATTTTCGGTATCGATGAGCTCTCAGGAACGGATTAATATCGAATACTGGGGGTCCACTGTATCCTTTATATGCTTCTAAATGCTGTATCGGGGACCTCTGTAAAAACAGTGATTATGTATGAGCGAGGTGAAAGTGTTGAAGATGATAAAAGCATTTTCTTTTTGTGATTTTTTTCTTTCTTTTTGGGTCACCCTGCCTGGGTGGGAGATGGCCGACTTGTTAAAAAAATATATATATAATTCTTTCTTTCAACACCCGGCCGTATCCACTGAGGCGGGGTGGCCCAAAAGGAAAAATGAAAGTTTCTCCTTTTACATTAGTAATATATACAGGGGAAGGGGTTACAAGCCCCTTGCTCCTGGCATTTTAGTCGCCTTTTACAAAAATGTATATATGTATATATATATATATATTACAGTGGACCCCTGGTTTCGTGATTAATCCGTTCCAGAAAAGCCTGCCGGAAGTCGAAATTGCCGAATGGCGAAACCATTTTCCCCAAAAGAAATAATGGAAATAAAATTAATCCATTGCAGACACCCAAAAATATTAAAATATAATATTCTTTTTTTTCAAATTAAATAAAGATTTACATACTGAAAACAATGAGAAATCAAGTACATGAATATAAAAAATAATAACAGCATTACACTTACCTTTACTGAAGATTTCTGGGTGGATGGAAGATGGGGGGAGGGGATGGGGGAAGGGTGTACACTATTGTTTTGGAAGGAGAATCCCCTTTCCCATTAGGATTTTCAGGTATGAAGTCCTTATCGGGGGGTTACTTCCCTTCTTTGTTTTTTAAAGACACTGGCACTGGGAACAACTTGAGAATCACGGGAACCCTGTCGCACAAAATATCTGTCGGGGAGAGCTCTGTTTCTGGCGTTTCTTTAAGATTTGTCTGAAGTGGGACGAAACCCACTGTCATTGTACATGTGCCAATACGGCCTGCAATAGCTTTTTTTAGGATGAAGTTCATCCATAAATGTTTGCACTTCAGTCCACTTTGCACAAATGTCCTTAATCTTTTTTTTTCGGTAATCCACACCAACAATAACCTCTCCACTTCTTCAAGGATTTGTGATCTCCTTTTTGTCAGCAATATCTACCCCTTTTGAAACAACAGCACACTTTATTTCCTTTCCTTTCGCCACGATCGAAGTGATGGTTGAATGGGGTTTGCCATACATCCTGGCAAGCTCTGTAACACAAACTCCACGCTCATATTTTTCAATGATTTCTTTTTGAATTCGATTGTGTTCCTACACTTTCTTTACCAAAGGGCTTACACTGCTTTCCTTGGGCCCATGGTGAAATTATTTAGCAGTTGCAATCACAAAAAACAATGGATTATTACGTATGAACCCGCGGGGGTATGGTCACGTGTTGGTAAACAATGGCACACTGACATGAATTGGGGTGGGAGACTGGTTTTGTGTGCCCCGGTGATGGGCGGACGGGTACCGGCCGGTCGCTAAATCACGAGTCTAATCATGAACTGCGAGGCCAAATTTTGCCGAAAAAACTTGCCAAAAGTCGGATTTCACGAAAAATCAATGCTGCCGAAACTCAAGGGTCCACTGTATATGAATATATATGTATATATATATATTATATATATATATGTAATATTTATAATATATATGATATATATATATATATATTATATATATATATATATATATAATTTTATATAAATATATATAAAAATAAATAGAACATTGCAAGATTTTCAGGTACGTCTTGCTACTTCTACTTACAATTAGGTAAAACTACCCCATACATGACAAGCACATATATAACAACCCCTCTGGGTTTTCTTCTATTTTCTTTCTAGTTCTTATTCTTGTTTAAATTTCTCTTTTCTCCATGGGAAGTGGAAAGAATTCTTCCTCGTAAGCCATGTGTTGTAAAGCAACTAAAATGCCGGAGCAAGGGGCTAGTAACCTCTTCTCCTGTATAATTACTAAATGAAAAGGAGAAAATTTTTGTTTTTCCTTTTGGGCACCCCGTCGGTGGATACGCCGGGGTTTGAAAGAATATATATATAATATATATATATATAATATACAGTGGACCCCCCTAATGATTACCCCCAAATGTGACCAATTATGTAAGTGTATTATGTAAGTGCGTTTGTACTGTATGTTTGGGGGTCGAAATGGGCTAATCTACTTCACAATATTTCTATGGGAACAAATTCGGTCAGTACTGGCACTGAACATACTTTGGAGTGAAAAAATATCGTTAACCGGGGGTCCACTTTTATATATTATATTAATATATAAATATATATATATATATATTATAATATATAAATATATATATATAATTATATAATATATATATTTTATTTAATTATTTTATTATTATATATAGTATATTTTTACCCACACACAACCTACATCCCGACTTCACTGCTCGACTTTCACCACTCGACTTACGACCGTTTTTTTATGCCCAATTTCTGGGAAATAAACAACTATATATGTTTGTACCCCAGTGTTTATCCTAATCCTTACGTATAAAATACAAATAAAAACAGCATAAAAAGTAAGTAAAACGTGAAATACCAAAATAAACATTAAAATAAAGTCATTACAAAATGTTTGTTGATTTCAGTGTAAATTTTGATTTCGACCCATTTCGACCTTACGACCGGGTTTCTCGGAACCGAACTCAGTCGTAGTCGGATGGTAGGTGTATATATATAATACATTACACACACAAACAACACACACCACAACACACACACAGTAGGGCCCCACTTTACGGCATTTTGCCTTACAGCGTTCCGCTAATACGGCAATTTCAAATTAGGGCGTGACCCACCCGGTTTGTTTACATTCTCCGTGAGCACATCTATTATGTCTGGAAACTTTCCAAAATTTCAAGTGTTTTAAAGGTATTGCATACTTTATATGTACTTTGATAATTTTGCTTATGTGTACCTGTTCCTAAGTATACTTACTGTGCCGGTGTGCATGTACACATTAATATCACTAAGAGTCTCTCTACTCACAATGCCATAGCAATACTACATAATAATAATCTCTCTTGGGCATATTAAATGTCTTATTTTACGTTAATATAGACATATTCATTAACCTATCAATGAAATTTTCTTCAAAATTATATAAGAAACACGTTACATAGCATATAAACATTATACACACACCCACAGAATAAAAACTGACATAAATACGAGATTTGTTTACAAAGCGGCTTTGTAGGAGTGTCGGAAGAATTACGTTTTCTCTAGTCAAACACTGGGGGATAACTGTAGATAAATACAGTGGACCCCCGCTTAATGATTACCTCCCAATGCGACCAATTATGTAAGTGCATTTATGTAAGTGCGTTTGTACGTGTATGTTTGGGGGTCTGAAATGGACTAATCTACTTCACAATATTCCTTATGGGAACAAATTCGGTCAGTACTGGCACCTGAACATACTTCTGGAATGAAAAAATATCGTTAACCGGGATCCACTGTATTCCTTTTGTATGCCTTCACTCTATATATAGCAATTCATGACCCTTATGGGTTTACTGGAGTGAATGATGGTGAAAGTTTTTCTTTTTCGGGCCACCCTGCCTTGGTGGGAATCGGCCCGTGTGATAATAAAAAAAAATAATAATAATAATAATTTGTCAGAGCATCATTCCTTCTAAAAATTACATGAGAATGGAAGTGTTGACCTTTATTTATTCTACTGTACCACTGTGGAGACAACTTGTACACAATGAAAGGTGTTTGTATGAATGTTTATGAACCATAACCAGATGCATCATCTGTTTGTTTACATAGTGGGTGGGGTGGTCAGGCTGGTTTCCCTACACTACCCTACCTACCACACGACTTTCTACAAATAAATACTTTTCATCTTTCACCCTACATTAACCCCTTCAGGGTCCAAGGCCAAAATCTGAAGTCACGCACCAGTGTCCAAGAAATTTTGAAAAAAAAAAAAATTATTTTTTCTTACAGAATTAAAGAGCATATTTTTGTGAAGGTAATAAAACAAAAAAAATTAGAATCTGATCAGTACTTACCGAGATACAGTGCCAAGAAGTTTGTAGAAAATGATGTGGTGGCGGCAACATCGACGAATTCCACATACGCGTATTTTATTATTTTGTTGTTTTAGGGTTTTTTTTTCTTTTCTTTTCCAATTTTTTTCTATTCCTACTAACATTGGGGCCTGAGAGACCAATACTGTATATAATGTATATATATAAACTCACTGTATTGAACACAATAACCGACTAAAGTTATTATCATATTATTGTTTACCACTGTTGTTTATTACAATAACATGCACAAATATTGTATAATACTAATGTTCTTTTCATATATTTACATATTTACAATCACTGGACATGGTTTTAGAACTGCTGGGCTTGTGGGAAAATCCTTGAAACAAGGCAACCATGCCAGAGGCACCTTCATTCCTCACACATAAACCGATGTCTTTGCCGTTTTCTT